TCACAACATCTTGGTCTTCATATATTCTAGGTTATGCCTACAGATACGGGATTACATTTTACATTTAGCCAGTTTTATTATTGATTGTAGAATGGAAATTAACCCGTAATGAGTTATAAAAGAATATATCTTTATCATTTATAATGTGGAGTTGATAAATCATTACCCAATAAAAATCGCAAGCACGTAATCATTGATATTATAATATAAAGCGAAAAGTAAGGTTCATCCACTATACTGTAATATTCTAGGTGAATAGAAAAGGTTCCGTAACAGGAAATTTAAAATGTAGAAATTATTTCTAATCAACAAGGCTGTTAAAAAGCAAGATTGAGATGAACTATTTGCTGGGCCTAGTGCGAAATTAGAGCAATGGCGATGCAATGTAATTCATTTTAAGTATGAAACAGACATTAAATTAATGGTATTTCTGGAACTGGGACTTGTTAACCTCACAAAAATTTGAATAAATTATTTATTTTATTAACCAACTCTAAAATATCTTAAATATTAATGAGCTGCAGGGCTAAAATATAAGCTGGGATTCACTTGAAAATTTAGGCTGTAAATTATTGTTTTTATCTGCTTTGTTGAGAAGTTTGCTTCATGAAATGCTTAACATCCATTGTGTAGGTTGAAATCATTAGTAAACAGACGCATATGAAAAATTAATTTCCATTAAAAGAATGGGCCTTATTACTGAATACACAATAGATTCTATGCTAGCAAAAGAATTTCCAAGGCATCTAAGCTATTTCTCAGACCCGATTAGTGCGGAAGGTTAAATTCGACACATTTTTTGGGGGACTTTCATTTCGTATAAAAGTGCATGAAGAAGAGATTCGTTGGTCGATCTCACCACTTTCATACGAAATGAAAGTACCCCCAACAATGTTATCTCAGGATATTCATATAAATTCAGTTTCTCTTCGTATCTAAATTCAACACAACCTAGACATTAAAAGCTTTTTCTATCTAGGTATTAAAAATAAAGTTATAAAATTATATAGCCATCAAGTTCAATGGGCTAGTACAGAGAAAGCAGAACTGAGAGGATGGAACATGTGGGGAAAATATTCTTAGTGGGCAATCTAAAAATTTCACCAAAACTCTTTCTATGAATTATTTAGAGAAGGATGAGTTACTTCAGTCCAGTTTATTAAAGGTTTAAGTAAACTCAAAGCTAACATTTTATTTCGGAGATATAGCAAATAATGTTACTTTCTGCAAATGTACCAAGAGCCTCAATTATTAGCAAAACCGCACGCCTATTAGAAGACAAAATACTAATTAACAATCTTGTTGACTCACGCAAGAACCAAATAACGTTTTAAAAGAATGAAAATGTCTCAATAAATAGGAATAATGCATAGCTAATGACAACTTTCTAAGGAATTATCGCTTGCATCATCAGAGAATAAGTAGTGGAAATTTATCTTGGATGTTGTTGCATCGATTTCATTATATTTTGTAAACCCATCTTTATGCTAAAATTTAGCCCCAACAGTAACCCGAAAAATCATTCACAAATGCCAGATTTGCAGGAACCCGTAAAATAAGCTTAAGTCTGTTCAGCACAGCAAAAAAACTTTAACCAATGTATTCAGGCAAATACACTACCAAACTGTTTGCGCTTGGTTAGTTAAAGGAAAAATGCAAGAGATATCTTTTTAGCATAAGGGCAAACGGCAATGCATATAAACCAATGGGTAGTTGTAAATTCCTTCATAGTAATGACTATTCCATAACCCGTTGCGCCCATACCCCTATCTGGCCTAATGAACATAATTTTTTTCTTTCCGCCTGTACGCTCTGGATTTAAATTCCGTTTGGGATCATGATGAGATTTCAGGAGATATTGAAATTGCAGCCCATTCGGGAGGAAAATATACTTTTCTAGTGCACGCCGAAGTGAAATAAAATAGCAAACGTGAAAATTCTTTTCTTTTACTCATTGGGAGATTCCTTAATAATTCCTTTAGCAAAAGTTATCCATTGGTGGATCTTCAAAAACAGGCAAGAATTGCCCACAATAAAGGAATTTAGTCACTGATAAAGTGCATCAAGTGTATAAGTAAAAGAGTTTATTCTAGGTTTAAGCCTGAATCCTACGAGCTAACTTGAGAAGAGATAGGCTGACTTGAACAATTTATTCGTGATGCTGGCATAGCTATGTAAATTTAAAGTCCTTATAATAGTGAGTCACTATTTGGAAGGAGTCATCTTGTTTAAATCGTGTGGTTACTGGAATAATGTACTTGAGATTTTAGCCTAACTTACTTAGAATTGTGTCATCAGGACAGTCTAATGGATAGACAGTGTTGGGCTCTTGCTCGCCCCTTGCGTTTGAGGTTGAAACTTCTTCAGCTTCTTCAAGTTTACATTGAAGTTTGAACGATACCGAATGATCCTTTTGCTTAGTATTTTTACTCGCAACTGAATTATAACTACATTCTATTACCTGGGATATGCTGCGAAGAAATTGCTTATCATTGTCTAGTTCAGCATGATTCACTGGTTGAGAAATAAATGGCTCCGAATAGCATCCTTGCAGACTGACATTGCAATTCCGAGGTGGCTCTATATGCGTTTCAGATTCGACGGGCATCCAATGACTGGTACCTCCCTTTTGTTGATGATATACCTCTTTCTGTTGTTGTCTTACTTTTTCTGAATCATCTGGCCCGGAAAGTTTGTGCGAAGCAGAGAAGATTCTGGCCTTTGAAATGGCAGAAAATGTCTTCATTCCTTGTGGAACGAACTTTGGATAAAAATCTCCATCTTCTCCTAAACTTTGCTGAGATCTTGAATCTAAATTCTTGACCACAATGGATGACTCAAACTTAGGGGCAGGTTGGCTGTGCAAGTTGGCTAGAGATGTTGAGAAGCCGCAATCTTCACTAAGGCTTGTGTTAAGTTTTTTTTTTGTATATGAATAACCCAGCTTTCCATTCATATTATACGAGGCTATCCTGAAGATATAAAAAAAATATGCATTCAAAATGAAGTTCTCATAACTTAGAGTATGTACGATTTCGAATGTAAGTAATTATAGTGAATTTAGAATTTTGTTACTGAATCAAATTAGACGATAAAGTCTCCCCCCAAGTTTATAGAGAACTAGGTGAAATATAGGTGACTATTATGTCAATCAACATTTTGTCATAGTTAATATCGATGTGACGAGGGGATTGATCATCTTTATTCTCATTAACTTTATTATGTCCCCAATATTTCTACATTAATAGTTACATATTGGCAAGACAGAATGTATCACATAAACAAAGATTACAGCAGATTGTCTCTCATCTGAATTGTTTCATGAAAATTTCCCTAATTCGGTACAAGTGGTTTACTTTACCTAGTCCTCAAACATCCTGACGAAGTGATGCCAAATTGGGTAAGAAGGATGTTCGAGAACAACTTAAGCCTTAATGAATGGATGTCTATATCCCATTTTAATGACCAAAATTCGTCCGGAAATATATTTATCCCGGAATTCTATATAGTGTCAAAACAAAGAGGAGTCTTTTTCCTCACTTAATATCCGCTATGACTAGGGTAACAATAAAGTTTTATATGTATTCTATGGAAAATTGGCGGCCTTTGCTACATTAACCATGAATATTGGTGCCCCACTTGCAGAAAGAGCCTGAATTTTTACCTTGAGCGAGAGTAATTCTAAGAACCGGTCTATTTACGAGGCCTTGCATTGCATCAGTGCGCGTGTGTTTTTGTGTGGTTGCAATTTTCCATCATCAAAAAGACTTGGTTCGACCTTTTTTTCTCATATTAGTTACTACCCGCAGTTATCAGATCAAAATCTAGAAAGCATCCAGTTATGCATAGTGGTATTCTGACTAGGCTAGAAAAACAAATGGATAATTTTGTTATTTTCTACTTTAATTCCATTGTCAACAAGTATAAGCAAAGTCGATGAAGCACCTAAAATATATTATATATCACATTACTTGTGCATATACCCTAGTAACGACGCGATAGGGCGACACAAATTGATGGGTCAACAAGAGGTAAAAAACTTGATCCGTCACCCAAAGGTGCTACCAGATCAAGTTCAAGTGAAGCTTTATATGCAACAAACTCTGCGTGTAGTGGACAAGCGTGCCCATATTGTCTTTCGAGAGGACAGATGTTCGGTTAAAAATGGTAATATTCATTTTAATGCCTCGAAATTAAACGATGATGGGCACAGAAATGTGTGCTCATTAATGCGTAACCTATGTCAGCCTATCTAAGGCAATTTAGACCTTGTTATATCTCTGAGCTGAAGATTATTGCAGCCAAAGGACAAAATGTAATATATTTGCTCTTACCCATTGGATTTTCGGGAAAAG